GGAATGTCATTGAATGTGGAGTTGAGAAAGAATACACATCACAGGCTCTCCCAAGCCAGTGTAAGCCAGCTCCAGCACACCTCTGCTCATGTCTAAAATTACATCAGAAGTCAAACGTGACTTGGTAAAAAACATTACAATCCAAATAAACCTAATAGTGCAATCTAATCTATCAGTCAACAAACTTCAAAGTCAGAGAAGTTCAATTTATAAATATAAAAAGTACCAAAAAAATACTTTAAAAAGTATGAAAAAAGTACTTTAAAAAGTATCAAAATAAGATATTTAGATAACTTTGAACAAAAAGAAACAATAATTACCTAAAGATGCAATCTCATTTCTTGTCACTTCATTTGGAATACTTACATTATAATTAATTCCAACAAACATTTATAGAGCCTTTACTCAGTGCTAGGAACTCATCCAAGCATTTTATGTATATCAATTAATTTAATCTTCAAAACAAATCTGTTTTTTATAAAAGATTAAACTGAAGCATACAGAGCCATTTGTTTAAGGTCACATCATTAGTAAATGATAGTAAGGGATTAAAAGAAAAAAGCATAGTCTATCTCCAGGGTACCTGCCTTTAACTACTGCTCATACAGCCTCTAAAATTATCTAGAAATAAGGCTGCAAGAAAGACTTCATGCAAGTCTGGCATTACAAAGTGAAAGACTATACAGATTGGAAATATAGTCTGAAAAAATAAAAGTATGAAACAATGAGTTAGGAGAACAATAAACATCACCAATAAAGGCCTTCCTTAATTTCTCCTCCTCTGTAAAAGAAAGTCACCATCAAGAAATTACTGAGTGGAAATTTAGAGTTTATTACAATAATATCTTTTATGCAATGAAAATATTACTATATGGAAATCATTGTTACAGGGGAACTTTGAGTGAAAAATTGTGGATGTATAATTTGTTAACCACTTTAATTTGAATCTCTGTAAGAGAAAATAAAGAAGTGAAGATAATAATTAGGCAATACTTCAAAAGAAAAACCAACTGGTTTCAGAAAGTTGGTGAAATTACTCATTGTTTTCATTGTAGGGATTAGCCATTTTTTTCCCCAGAATCATTAAGTAATGCTGGGGCTGAACTGTCCTGTGATTTAATCTGCTGGTGTAAATCCTCTTCATCTAATCTCATAATTAAAACCAATAAGGAAGAACTTCTTGTTTCTATACAAGATGTGAAATCCTTCAAATTCATAACTGAGATGTAATTTTTTTTCTTTCTTCAAAGTTAGAAAGTTAGAGCTTCAGATTTGGTCTAAGCATGAAGATGGGCTTTCCAGATTTCTGGAAAACTGAATTAAGAGCAGTGGTTCAGGGAAACCTGAGCAAAGACTCCTAATGAGAGTGTTGCTGGGAAGACTCCACATAATTCAAAAATCAGGACAGCCCAATGTTTATAAACATGTCTTAAACAGGACCACACGGATGATTAGTGTAAGATGTTCTGGAATGATGATGCAAGCATGAGTACAAAAGGGCAATGACCCAGCAAGAAATCCCTTTATTTCTCAAGATCTTCCTTGTAAGGAGAATATCACTTCATTGCTGCTTCCTCTTAAGGAAACCAAGGGAAAATCTCTCCCCAGATACACTGCATTTGCTTTCGCTTTGTTGGCCTGCTAATTTCCATTCTTAAGTTCTGTATCCTTGGCTAAGGGTTAAATCTTATTAGAGAGGGATTTTACGTTATGTATGTGATTTCTTTTTGTCAACCCCAAACTTATCCACAACTGGAAACTGTATTTATGTGAGGCTGAGCAATTTTACTTATTATGAAGTAAAATCAGTTAATGTATGTTAGTGACACTTTGTAAACCATAAAAAGTCACACAAATACTTTCCTTCCCCATGTTTTTAAGGAGTAGACAATAGGAGAAACACATGTGTCTGGGATACATATGCTCTTTACTCCCTGCGGGTGCTGCATTTTATGTTAAGGAGTATGATCCTGGCTTATTGCTGTTTATTACTGGGGCATTTATATGGCCTTGCTAGGTTATGGGAGAGCAGGATAGTCATAGGGCATGATTTACAAACCTGGCTTTGTATATTAAGGAGTGTTTATTAATATATCTAGTATGTGTACAGAAGAAGCTAGGTGGAGCTGGCTTTTCTCTAGAGATAAGTTTTATATGTAATAAGTGTAGTACAAATAAGAATGTTCATTTATCCTAGGGGGATTCAGAGGCCTGATTTATGAGACCTTTGTCCACCTAGCAACAAAGAAGAACAACCAGTGGACCTAGGATGGAAGACAGCAGTTGCCTAATGAATCAACAATCAAATGAACCCCAGAAACAACTGAAAGAGACTTTGAAGAAAATTATTAGATGCTGCCTATAATTCAAAATATATAGTGAGTAATAGGGAGTAGACATAGTTCAGTTTAACCATTAAAGAAACTCAGGGCAGAAGTATCAGTATCAATAAAGAAATCCAAGGAGACATTGCCAATGAGTCTTACATAGCCATTGGTGGAGATAGAATCCTGCAAACAATAATCCAAATGGGTAATAACGCTGCAGTTGGCCTCCTTAGCTGGTGCTCAATAATCAATAATCTCAAGGGAAGACAGGGCCAACTTCATTTTCTTTCATCCAATTAATAATTATTGAAAGGTTGAAGGCTGACCTGTGAATAGTTTATTGGCTGACTAATTCAGCAAACAATATTAAGAACCTACTATAAGTGAGGCTCTGTGCTGGGCACATTTTCAGGACCTCCATAACGGTTGCATAAGATAGATTTAAATTGCTGCACTTCAGAAGTAGCAGTAGCTGCTGTAACATCAACAAACAAACAATTGGGCTCCATCTTTTCTACAGACCTTGGTGCATATCTCTATTATAGCACTTACTATATTGTTTAGTAACTTGTTCTTTACTTTGTAAGTTTCCCCAACTGAAACTTTTTCTGTAGAGCTGGAATATCTTTATGCATCTTTTAACCACCCCCATGGTCAACACAGATGCTGGTCGAATAAATGAATAAGGGGGTTAACCCGAATTCTCAGTGGACAATACAGCAAAATAAATAAAAATGTTACAGTTTTAATCTAATCTTTAAATTTCTAGGAAAGAGTGGATTTAGGGAAAGTGTTAAATGAGTAAATTATGCAATATGCTCGTATATGTTAATTAACATTTGTCCTTTATACCAGGTATCTCTCCTCTGTGATGTTCTAATTGTCTATACCTCTATCTCTGCCCTCACCACATTCTGGAGTAATTATTTATGTGTCTGTCTTCCCAGTATTTTAAAGAAAGAGTAAGCCCCACTGAGGTGGTAAATGTGTATTATTCATCTTTGTATCCCCAAGGTTTATCACAGTGCTTGGCACACAGACCATCCTCAACAGATGTGTAAGGAATGAATGAATATGTGGTGACTCTTCCTGAGCTTATTCATTATAGAAGGCAATGTACTGAAAATAATAAAAAGTGAGACAATTCCATTTGTATGCCTCCACAAAATAGAAGCTATCAGTTTATAAGAATTAAACCTTATTATGTAGTTTATATTGGCATTTTAATACCAGATTATGACCATCTAGTGAAAATTCATCTTGTTATATTATAGGAGACTTTTATTTCCTCTTTTGAAAAGCTATTTTTAGCTAAAAGTGACTGATTAGTCTTTGGAATGGTCTGATCCCATTTCTACTTTAATATGAAGTATCCTTTTTTGGAGCAAGGGACTTTTAGTCTTAGATTTCTGGTTCCCTTACCCCCAGCTCAAATAAAATAAAACAAAAACCTATTCAACCACCAGTCTTTTCCTTTTCAGTAAATGATATAATTGTTTGCTAAGAACAAAAATCCAGGAGTCATCCTTGAATATTTTCCTTTCTTCTACTTACCGGGCCCATTTTCCCAGCCCATTAATGACTGCCAATGCCAATCAATTAGCAGGTCCTGTGGTTCAGATTCCAAAATATATTCTGAATCTGTCAGTTTTTGCCACTTCTTTACCATTAAGGTCTTGCCTTAACTATTGCAATAGCCTTCTAACTGGTCTCATTACTTGACAGGACAGCAGCCGAGAGCTTTGAAATCCACTGAAATCCATCAATGGTTTGCTTCTGAACGTAAAGTAAAAGCCAACCTCTGCACCATGTCCTCAGTGCCCTACTTGATCTGGCCTCCACCAAACCCTTTATCTTTCCGTCCTACTACCCGTCCCTCTTTATTGCACCTCCAGGCCCCAGGCTTTCTTGCTGTCACTGGAACATGCCTGCTTAGTCCATACTCATGGCTGTTATTTTTGCTGTTCTCTCTTCCTGGAATACTCTTCTCATGGATCTCCACAAGGTGATTACTCACTATACAGCTCTCATTTCTTTAAGGAGGCCTCTTTAAAAGAGCATCCCTGCCCCTGTTAATTTCTATCCCATTTCTCTGCTTTAGTTTCTTAGTAAGAAATGAAACTCCTCATTTCCTCGTGTTATCTTTTTTAATGTCTATCATCCCTACTAGAAAGAGATCAGGGTTTGTATCTGCTTTGTTGTATCCCCAGAGTCTTGAATGGTAGATGCTTACTAAATATTTTTGGAATAATTCAAGCCTAATTTAGTGCAGGAAGTGTGCTCATTTTACATGTAGACCAGGCTAGTGATTGTTATGGGCAATATACCAGATGTATTGAGACCACGAACTCAGGCCTCGTTGTCCATTCAAGGCTTATAAGAAAATGAACATATCATATTTCGTACAATTCAGACTGGAGCAGTATTAATATCCTGTGGGAGAAGGCCAATTTAGTGTACTAACAACTTGAGGAAACCTAATTTGTTCCATTAACAGTCTATCGAAAAAAATCTTTCCTTCAATGTTATTAGATACATAATCATGTTTACATTATCTTGGGGAATTTGAGAGATGGGGAACAAGTCATCTGCTGGGTTTCTACACCATTACATGTTATATATCACTCCGGGAGATTGCTTAATTACATTAATAAACATTATTTGAGCACTGACCTTTTTATCCCTCCAAATGTTTGTGCATGGCCCAGGAATTTTCCAAAGTCAATATGAAACATGTGGCCTGACTTTGTCAGCATGATATTGTCATTGTGACGGTCACAGACTCCCAGGATGAACGTTACCACACACCAGCCAGCACAGGAATAGAAAAAGTTCCTCAAGGCCTAATCGGTTGAAAAATAATAACACACACAAAAAATGAGCAAACACAGAGGTAATGGTAAAAGTACGATAAAAAGCAAAATTCTCTAATCAAGAACCAATTCTACATCTCAGCTGAGTGGATATGATTAAATGGTTGTTTCTTGATATGCTACAGAAGAACATGAAGCAATCTGTTCTTTAGCCTAATGAGTGTTTTTGTTGAAATGGGAGAAAATAACTTTCATTCAGTTAAAACTAATTTTCAGTTTATTAAAGAGGATTCTTAGTGTTATTTTTTAATGTCGCAAAGGTACAATAGTGCATAGCTTTTTTCAAGATAAAAGAAGAAGGAACAATATGGTCCAGTATTGCCTATTCCCATAGAAATTTAAAATATTAATTTTTGAATATCTGAAATTTTTAACACAGAAAAAACTACATTGAGATATCTGTAACACTTTATGTTTATCCTACAAATATGTCATCCAGTTAATGCCCCAAAAGGTTTTGGTACAGTATATACCAGTGAACGCTTGTGCGGGTAGAAGCAGATTCCACTAAGTTAGTTGTGGCTTATGTCTCTTTAATGGACAGAGGTTTCTTGCCAAAATTACTCTTTTTTCAAAAAAACTGTCTCCTGGGTATTCATCGTTTTGATCGATGATGCAACGATGAGTGTAAGCACAGTGACTGGCTGAACCACAGGTATGGGCCTCCTCAACTAGCGAGTGGAAGACCACGTGGCTGGACTACATGCCAGGACACCTTATTTCCAGGTATCCCAGGTGCCTGAGAAAGTCTTTAATCTGTCTGTCTAGATTTTCTCTACTTATAAAGTGAAGATAATAAAATATGTCCTTCACATGGTGGTTAAGAACATCAAATGTACATGGAAACACCCCAAACAATATAACTCCAGGGCTTTGTGCCTAACTCAAGTTACAATTTGGGGAATGGCTAAAAAATAGATTTCTAGATAATCTCATCTAATTCCCTGTTACTTGGCCTCCAAAACCTGTAGTTTGCTCTATTCCAATCTCACAGAAGTCTGGAGTAGATGAACTCTTGGATCTCTCTTTCATGGCCCAGGTCAGCTAGGGTGACCAAACCTTCCAGTTTGCCCAGGACTGAGGAGTTTCCTAGAATGAGGGATGTTTAGTGCTCAGGACAGTTCTGAGCAAATCTAATGCTGGCCCATATTGCATCCTTGTGTGAATTAGCATAAAGGTGCCCCTGCCTCTGGGGCAGCTGTACCAGTTCATGCCTTGGCAAGTGAAACAAGGCCTGGCTCCAGCCAACTCATCCCCTAATCTGGGAGCCCTGGTAGAGGGTGGAACCTGTACAATTGTAGACTGCAGCCTAGATGCCAAGGTAAAGTGGGAAAAATGTTGGCAGTCAAATGGAATAGTATACATTTTGTAAAGTTCTGAGATACAAAAAAATAAAAACTCTATTAGGTATTCCGCAAACACTGAAAGAATGAGGCATGAAAAAATAGAACTTGGAAGAAGAAATACATTGCAATGGAAGGAGGGAGATTTATAGAAAGTATAGGTTGTGTACAAATAGGCACAGGTAACATGAAGGAGGTAGTTTTCAGGAGCATCATCTCAGGTGAGATTGCTGTAAGGGAAGCTGCTGAGCAAAGAGAGTCTTTATTGATAGCCCAGAATTCCACCCAGAGGGAAAACCAGACACAGAAATTGTTATCTAGGTAATATACCATTTAAACTGTGTCATTATTACTATGCTGATGAATGAATGAATCAGACCTCAAGATGTACTTAATTTACTTTTTCATAAATCAGAATATCTAATGAGCCAGAGTATATCCTTATTTAAGTACATTATTTAAAATTTGCTGCAGAAGGACAAACCTTTTCATAATCCACCTTTAAATGGTTGTGCTGACTGAACCATTTTTTGATTGTATTTTCTTTCAGTGGTCCTATCAGTCCAGAATGGCGATGGATTTTCGCGAGGGTTATAGCATCGGGCACCATCTGCACCAATCCTGGTTGATAAAAAAGAGATTATGGAAATACTTCTTTCTTTACAGGATGAGGGATACTTAGGAAAGGCATCTTGATATAGGTAACAACATCAATACTTGCCAGCACTACTCGGATTACCCTTTTTATTTCCCAACCTTCTTCTTCTCTGAAGGAGTTTTACCTAGATGGTATTGCTTCTAATTTTTCCTAAATCCTAGGGAGCGATGAGGCTACTTGTGTTTGGATCAGATGTATCAGAGCTGCTTTAATATTTTTTCTAGAACTACAGTAGAGAGCAAATCTAGATGGTCTCCCAGCGACCCCACTGAGTCAATAGAGCAGTGAATTAATTAACATATGGCTTGTGCATTCATTTACAGTTTAAGGGAGGACATTCAAACTTGTGTAACAAGCATATTTATAACGTAAGTGAATCAAATACAACCTCCGTGACAAATATTTCAAATATATTATAAAAATCAATGTTCAGGTTAATAAAAGCTTCACTGTTCAACGTTTCATTTCTAGGAGTGAACAGAGTATAACTCTGCAGTGAACATGTACAGAACCACCTGCTTCTTCCTTCTCAGTCTGCATTAAAGTGAAACTATGATAACAATCTTTTTAAGGGAGCATATATTGATTGAACTTCAATAGGAGCTTTGCCCCACTAGCCATGCATCCATCAAGGCTTCTTTTCATTGTGTTCCTAAGGTTATTGGAATGTAAATATTTTCAAGCCTTCTGATTTTTATTCTGCACAGAACAGCAATTTAAACCCAGTATTTAAAATTCTCCCAGGACTAATGTCCACAAAACAACCTGTAATGCACAGTTCTATAAATAAAGTCATTGAAAGAAATTAAAGTCTAGAATTTCTGATTTCCACAATCTTGACAACTGCAAGAGTTGAAAACACAAATGCCCAAAGGAACCAGGGACATAAATGGAACTATATGAAAAGAGAGAAGATTAAGTTTTAAAAATTGACTATTTCATGGTCTACCTTAAAAATATTCAAATTAAACAACAAACAAGAAGATCACTGTAATGGTAAGCAAAACATTTCTCAGTGCTGGATTTGGCCAGTGGCAGCTGGTTGCAGGCTTAATCTCTCTCTCTCTCTCTCTCTCTCTCTCTCTCTCTCCAGCCTTAATCTCTTAATATCCAATAGCCCAGCTCAGCCCAATCATGACCGTTAGGCATCTATTGATACATTGCCTTATTAGAAAGAAACAAACATGGAAAGTGGGAATTGAATGCTGCAAAAACAACCTATTAAAATCTATTTGTTAAAAACAAAAAGAAAAAAGGAGATGTAACATCCCAGAGATAAATCTTGGGCATATCTTTAATATCATAACACTTCTCCCTTCTCCCCCAACAGTATTCAGCTCTTGTGCTAGTTTTCTTGTGCTTATTAAGTGAGATAGCAAATGTAAAGCGCTGCATTTAACAGTAATATAATAACTCTAAAAAGAGTAATATAGTTCTACTTTCTAATCCTGAAATTTTCCCTCATTTTTCCAGTTCCTCCATTTAACACTTCCTAACACAAAACGACCTTCTACCTGGTTCCTGCATGCCTCATTGCCACCTTGCATCTGACCATGCCCCAAATTAGGACTTAGATTACTGCACCCTTTAGATAGGGTGCTGTAGCAATGTCAGTTACTCCTCAGACCACATTTGTCTTCAGGGAGTTAATCATTGCTAAATCCCAAGCCATTTGTCATATCTTTCATTGTTGACTACCCAGAAAACTTTGCACCTAATTTATAACAATCATGATGGCTAAATTCTGCTCATTAATTAAAACCATAAATTACATTTCATACATTTTAAGCTAGTATGTATCACACACTTTTTAAATACTTCTAGCATAATTCTGTGCACAGTAATATGTGTGGCTCCATTCCCATAGCTCTCTAATGCAGATTCCTCAAAATTTAATGCCCATATGTATTACTTGGGGATCTTGTTAAAATGTAGGTTCTGATTTAGTAGGGTGGGAGTAGGGTCTGAGATTCTGAGTTTCTAACAAGCTCCCAGGTGATGTCAATGCTCCTGGTCCACAGGTCATACTTAAGTAGCAAGGTTCTTAGGGACAAAACTTTTCAAGATGGTATCACACAAGGCACTGGTTCTCAAAAAGGTGTGCATGAGAAACTCCAGAGCAGCTTTTTGCAATCACTGAGACCTGAGCCTCAGTCCCCCACCCTCCGTCCCCTCCCCAACCCTCCCCAGTGAAGAGCCTGATATAGCATCCTGCTTGGGTCCTAGATATAGCTGCTCCAACTCTCCGAAGTAATTTTTATGTCCATCAAATCTGGAGCAAATTTAGAGCAATGAAATAAATCCTAAAGAATTTTTATCTGCTCTGATAATCTCTCCCAAAGTTCCTACAACATCATATACAAAGTAGTCATAAGAATTATAGTCAACAATAATGTTGATAAAGCCATGTAAACTTGTGGCCTGGAGTATACTCTCCTTAAGGGCAGCAGCCCTGTTTAGGTCATTTTAATATTCCCTATCTTACTTTGTGACATTTCTTGAGGGATGTCAAAAGTAGATATGCAATAAGCCTTGGAACCTGATTAAAAATGGAAACTAATCTCTTAAAAGAAGACATTTGCTTTAATGATCTCCATTTTTCTTGAAGAAGTATCTTTCCAGTACAATCTTACAACCAAAGAAATTGTTGGTAGATAGCGGGAAAGAATAATTTGTCTGTCTTGTGACATCTGTAACTTTGGGCAAGTCTAGAGTTATTTCTGCTGGATTATTTTATTAACTTTAAAAGTCTTAGCCTCCATTACTTCCTATGATTATAAACAGAGAAATGAGTAGATGGAATTGAAGAATTCCACTGAGGCTGGTGTTGTATTCAATTTCTGAAGAAAAAGTAATCCACGTGACACCAAAAAGCTCAGCTTGCTTCATCTAAGGTTTATTCTTACCCTTTAAACATATTAGGATATGAAAGGATTAGGTCATTTACGTGAGAAAAGGGAGAGAAAAACTCAAGGAATAATGATCTCAGAGTAGCAGTAATAAAAGACTTTTAGGAACTAGAACTTTAGAAGGAGTTCAGGAGTGGGATACGTGGCATGGAAACAAGGCCCCTGTTATCAGAATCAAAGTAATTGGGCAGTATGGCTTTTAACAGTAGTCCTGAAGTATCCAATTGCAAGTTAAGCTAAGTAGGAGGTGCTTCCATGCTTAGTTTCCAAAATCTTGAGTCACAGTTGGCTGGGGTACTGAGCCTCGCAGTGGGACCTCAGGAACTGGAGGGCCAGGCAATGACAGTTTCTCTTTTGAGATGATGGGTTTAAACTGTAGTTCTGTCTGAATTAAAAAAGAAAAAAAAAAAAAAGACAACATAGTTCTAGGTCCCCTTTCCAGTTCTATGGTATTTTTATCCCTTTGTTTATGCAGATGCATCTGCTATAATTCATACTAATTAATTTAATGAAATGCTAAGTGGCAATGGCCCCATGTAAAAAAAATTATATGATATCCTAGAAATTATTTCTTCAATTCAGCATGATTGTAATTAAGTACAACTTTTACCTCTGATGTTTGAGTAATTATTAGGGTGGATTATTTTCATTGAAAATGTATATAAATGTAATTATATTTCCATATTAGTGGCCTGGCTTTTATTAAGGAAGAGAAATGCTAAAAGTATGCTCTAAGTTTGCATGAATGGTCATCTTTGACTGTTGATATTACACTTTACTCAAAAGTCTTTTAGAAATTGAATGCATGTTTATAATGTATTTAGAATTTTCAGAACTCCTTTAAGCATTTGCAACTTTGTAAATTTTGTGTTAATAGGCAACAATTGTATTTTTTGAATGAGTAGACTTTTCTATTATCAGCTTAGAAAGAGAGAAACAAATATGAGTTAATCATTAATGTAACTAACCCTTAAGGACACACAAAAGGATATTACAGTTAACATTTGAGTTGTCAAGAGTCCTAATTAATATCTAGAAGGACATTATGCTTTACATAAATCATTTTGGCTTATTGTTTTTGAAAATAATTCTTTGTAAAAAAGAAGAATGACCAGGTTTAGTTCTTTGGATTTTAAAATTTGTAATCTAAAATGAAAGCTGTGGCAACTCTGGGGGCATATTACTGATGAATGCGTGAGATAAATAATGTAAGTCAAACAGCTTTCTAATCTATACCGACCTTGGCCTTTTCCTGTGGATAGACATCTATAAATGATCATTTGCATATCCAGGCCCTCCTGCAGCCAAATATTGTCCATCACACGAATAATCTGCAGGACAAGCATATCCTGACGAAGATCATCTCCAGCCTGTTAAAAACAAAATTATAGACTCCGGGTTTCTCCTTGAATTCTATTAAAGGCTTTCAAATATGGTATATGTGATTTCCTTCCTTGAATAATTTTCCAGCCTGACTTAGGGTGGTTTCAATTGTTTTATTAGCACTAAGAATACCTTGTGTTTCTGATAGAAGATCAAAGAAAATGAGAACTTTCTTTTAAATGATTACAGAAGCTTTAGCCATTAAATTAGAAGCTGCTTGGAATGTTGTTCCCTGATAATAATCTTTCAATTTATTATCCATGTGCAATGTCTTAACCTCAAAGTCTGGTGAAGAGAGGTTGGACGAATGTTTATGCAAATTTCAAACTCAGCCAAGTGAAATCTCTAAGGGAAACATTATTTGATGTACCATAAATTCATGCACTGATATACAGTTAGACGACCAAGAGCTTCTTGACTGGGAGTATAAATAGAACACATAGAATTCATCAGACTTTGAATCATTGACTTCTCTTGTTATGAAGGCAGTTAAGAAGTTTTCAGAGTAAACAGCCTTTGATAATAATAAGAAATGATAAAGGAGTGTTTTTCTAGCATAGGTGAAGGACATGGAATATGTCCAAAGGGGAAGGACAGTTCTATGCTTTTAACTAATAAGAGGCTTGGTTTTGAAAATGCTTTCTAAATTATATGCAGAAAACTATGCCAAGATGAGATTTTGTGTTCTTCTTTTTTCTTCACCAAAAATGCAGTGCCAGGGGAACATTAATGCTTGAGGTTTACACAGATCACAGCAAAAGTATAGGTATGTTAATCATTATCTTCAAAACTAGTCAGAATCTAACAAAAATTCCACTCTGTAACCTTGTTGTCTGGTTTGGCTGAATAACTTATCAAATTTAACTGAACGACTGGCAAATGCTTATTTTTACTTACAGCTCCTTTTTCTGTCCCTTTTTCCTACTTGACTTTTACTCTTGTCCTTTTACTCTATTGTCCCATGGGATGCATGACAAAGACTGATATGGCCCTTATTTATATTTTATTTAAAAAGAAGACAACAACCCAAATTACTAAAATAAGCAAGTGCTTACAGATAAGAATTTTATGCTAAATCGTGTCATTTGAGTTTCAGCTAATTTTGATTCGAACTTAGTATCTAGACCAAAGGAAGACTCTCCCCCTAGGAAATTTACCACAATTCTGCTTTCTGTATTACTCAAAAATGATTGCATTATTTCATTTATTGAAATATACCTCCCGGAGTTTTGCACTGAAGATTCATTGGCTTTGAGCCAGTAATGTTTGATTTATTGCCAATCATAGTTTGGCATGTACTATAATTCTGTAAAAATGCAAAATCAAAAATAACTGGAATCTTCTGTGCTGCTGCCAGAGGAAAAGAGCTATAATAATTTCTTTTTGTGAGTAATAAATCAATAGTTCTACCAATGGAATCAATTTGATGTTTCAGGAGGGCTACTGTACCTTAAAAATGACGCTGATGTTTTTGCCCATTGGATTAGCATTAATGAAAGTAATCTTCAATGGCAAAGCATTAGATGTGAAATATGAACATGCCTATGGGACAAAAAGAAGAGAAAAATGGTGAGCAAAACAAAGCAAAAAGAACAGTTTCCTTGCAATCATGGCCCCTTGCAGAATTTGTTATATGAGCAAATGTAACACATATGAATAATTCTCACACTTTGGAACAAAGAAACATATTTCTTAAAAAAAAGACTTTAGTCTACCAACCAAAGTCTTTATTTGTAAACTAAAAATGCCAGCTTTTCGGCAGGTTGTAAATCTTCAACTACATTTTTTTCTCACTAAACAGTGATGATGTTTAGGGAGTTTAAATAAACTAAGTAGTATGTAGGTATTGTGCTTATGCTAGTTAGTTAATATCTAAAAGATGAAATCGCTATTTAAAAAAATATATTTCCTTTTCATTCTTTCTGCCCTGCAGCATACTTTAAGGAAACATGCATATAGAATTAACAAAGACCTGAGTTCAAATTTGGACTCTGTAACTTATCAGCTGTAAGACCTTGGACAAGTTACTTAAATGTTTGTATCCCACTGTAAAACAGGGATAAAACTCTTACCTCACACATTTTTGTAATAGGTATATGAGCTAATGGATATAAAATACCTTTTACAGTGTCTGACACTAATCGGGTACTTCAAAAAGATTAATGCATTCTTTTTCACTTTTTGCTAATGAACATTTTCTTATCTTTACAAGTAACAGTACAACATATATTTCCTATTCTCGTTTCTTTCAATTATACTTTACATTTCTATTTTCAGTTTTATGATATCGACTACTGTCCATTATTTTCCTTTTATGTGCTTACAACTGTTTGAGTGTTAAAAGGCTATATGTCTTTAGGTTATTAGAGAGTTCATGTTGACAGCAAAAATTATTAAATCAATACTAAAGAAAGCAAAAGGACTCGATACTTTCAATTCATCAACTTAGTAAAATATGACATCAATATATTTTGAAGGATCAGTTTGAATATCATTATTTCTGATAAGTCTGAAATCAGTAGAAGTTGAGAGGAAAGGATCTATTTCTTAATCTGTCAACATAAATCTAACCTAATCCCTAAGCAAACAGAAACCCTTGTTTACTGAATCAATTTGAGTTTTATAGTAAAAGGATGAGGCTGCTTGTTAAGTAATGAATTCCTGCTGCAAGAATCAGTCAATCAGGGGACATATGACCTTCTGTCATGGTATTGAATTAGGAAACCCTGTATTAGGCCAGAGTTTAGATCAGTGGTTTTCAAATTCTCCTCATTCAATTCTGGGGGCTGGGGTGGGACAGTGATGATCTCTTTGAGGTATGCCAAGTCCAGGGAAGAGACAAAGGGCTAAGAAAGGCTGAGGGTGAGGTTTAGCCCCTCTTCTCAATTATATCACTCAGCTATATTGCTTTCATTCCTTAATATTTTGGTTTTCACATGCAGTATATTTTTTGAGAGTCATGGCAAAAATACTATACATTTGACAGCTAGTATGCACAAAGCATTAACTATATGCTAATAGAAAGAGACACCATATCCACTTCTCATAGAGCCTGCAAAAGTTGGTATGAATGTATACACGCATGCATTTCACAGCTGAATGAAGAAGCATTTGAAGAAGAGAGTCTTTCAGAGATGAGCTGAATTTGAAGATTGTGAAAGACATAGATTGGCAAACAGGTAAATGAAAAGGTTTGCTAGGTAGAAAAAGGTAAACAAGGACACCTTAGATTAGAGTAGAAGTTAAAAGTGGATTGGGGGCTTCCCTGGTGGCGCAGTGGTTGAGAGTCCACCTGCCGATGCAGGGGACAGTGGTTCGTGCCCCGGTCTGGGAAGATCCCACATGCCGCAAAGTGGCTAGGCCCGTGAGCCATGGCCGCTGGGCCTGCGCGTCCGGAGCCTGTGCTCCGCATCGGGAGAGGCCACAACAGTGAGAGGCCCGCGTACCGCAAAAAAAAAAAAAAAAAAAAAAAAGTGGATTGGGATGGCCATAACCAAGAGATAGGAAAGAATGAATCAAAATCTTGGAAGATATTTTATGTAAATGGTGAGATAAAAGATCTGGAATAGAGAAAGGAAGACAAGAAAAGCTAGAATGGAGAAAGGAAGATAGAAACTCTGGTCTTGAAAAGTGAAAATTAGTGAAATAGACTTAAAACAGTTTTTAAAAAGGAAAAGATACCTATTAGTAAATGAAATGTCTGGTCTTTACTTTCCCAGGAGGGGAGAAGGATTGCATTCAGTTATTCCCACTCTCTCATATGATCTACCCCTTAGTGAAACAGGAAATGGTCCATTGTGATTAGTGGTTCCAAGGAGAGACAGGGGTGAGAATTCTTCTTATAAAGAAAGTTTAACCAAACCTAAGACCTTTGCTCTCTGTCTTGGAGACCCATGCTCTAAAGAATGGATTGAGCCAGGCCTGAGTACTTCTCCCTAGTGTAGTTTACTGATGGTGATTAAAATAGAATGCTGACTATACATGCAGGCTTTCCTACACTCACTACATTCATGGGACTTCTCTCCAGAGTGAACTCTGATGCACAATAAGCTCAGTAATAACTTTCCCCAAATCACTGCATTTATCAGGTTTCTCCCCAGATGGGCTCTATGATGTACTGTAAGCTTGGTGCTATAAACAAAGACCTTACCATACTCACTACTACATTCATAGGACTTCTAACCAGTGTGAATTCTCTGATATGTAATGAGGTATGAGTTTTGACTGCATATTTTCCACATTTATACGGTTTTTGCTTGTGTGAAGTCTGTGATATAAAATAAGACATTTACTAGACTGAACATTTTGCCATGCCGCATTCAAAAGGCTTTTCTCTGGTATGAATTTGCTCATAGTCAACAGTTGAGAGATCTGACTGAAGGCTTTTCTACACTGCCAACATGTATGTGCTTGTTCCCTGGCATGGAGGATCCAGTGTCAAACAAGACATATACTCTGACTGAAGGCCTTACTACATTCCTTACTGCCGTAAGGCTTCTCCCCAGTGTGAACTCTCTGATGGTCAGTAAGGTCTCTAACAGAACAGAGAGTGTTCCCACACTCACTTGAACATGACGTTTCTCACTTGTGTGAAGTGTCTGACGCTGGAAAACGGTTCTACTCTGCATGAAGGCCTCACACTCGTTACACTCAGAAGGCCCCTCCCCAGTACAGGCTACCTGATGAGCAATGAGCAGGGAACGCGGAGTGAAGGCTTTAACACATTCGTCACCTTGATGAGGTTTCTCCCAGTAATGGAGTCTCTGGTATTTATTGAGATGGGAGGAGTGATGACAAGTCTTCCCACACTCTCACATTCATAGGGTTTGTACCCTCAGTGGGTTCTCAGATGAACCACTGGCTGAGGGGTTTGTCTGAAGGTCTTACTACACTCATTACACTCCCAGAGGTTCTTTCCAGTATGGATCCTCTGATGGCCAACCAGATGTGGACTCTGACTAGAACTCTGCTGCATTTACTGCACCTTCCTATGTGATGTATGTCCCTTCAGACCTCCTCGTTGTTCAGCAGGACTGGAGGACAGACTAACATGTTCTGCAGGTGAGAGAGCATCACCCTCCACATCCGCCCTGCTCACTGCTGTACACACAGGCACAGCTGACCAGAGCAAGTGGGACAAAGAGGTGGCTCTACTTGGGGCACTTCCCAGCCTCAGGGGAAGTGCCGATGGCTGCAGGTTGCTGTAGGGAAGGAGTGTGGTCCCAGGCACAGCACTATGGGTGATGACTCCTGAACTGGTGATGCCCTTGGCATGGCCTGCTCACCTGGACACTCAGAGCAACGATTCCCTAGAGCTGGTGCCCCACATCACCAAGGCCTGCACAAGCCACAACGCATACGTAATTTTCACCAAGGCCTGCACAAGCCACAATGCGTATGTAATTTTAATTGAAAACAATCTTTCTATTCCTTAAACAACAATGACAAACCAAGAAAGCAGAAGTAAAAAATAACATCTGGACTCAATGAACTATTGATATATTGTTCTTTCTACATTAAGATACTCTGTGTTTTTGAAATGTTTCCATGTACCTTTAAAGCATCAATCAGTGCATACTGCTAATGACTAAAAGGTCACACAATTTTTTTAAATCAGTGATGATTTGGATTTTAGCCCAGATAGACATATCTCAGCTTATAAAATTGATGCCTTATTTTGTTATTATTCAAAATACGTCTATGCAGCATATTTGGAAAATTTGTAGGGTGTCTTTGCAGCAGCAAAATTGTAAAGGTGACAGTATTAAGCTTCTAGTAAAACTTTTTCTATTCATACTAATGGTCTGATTTTTCTCCTAATTATTAAATTTGTTTTTCTTGACTGTATTCCGATTTTAGTGAAGTAACACTTATTGTGCTTGCATGAGAGTTTAACCTCTTCATTTTAAAATCTCACTTATCAATCCTCTTTATTAGAGTCTTCTACTCTTGGACTTTTGAGAAGGAATATAATAAAGCTCATGGAGAAAGAATGATTCTAAGTCAGAGAAGGGTGGCTGATAGAGACTTAGGAAGAGAAGGAGTTTGTGAGTACAACGCCAGGAAGGGCTTTCCAGGCATGAGTAAAATCACAAACATATCATATGGCACAGTGACTCATAAGCATCAATGAGTTTTAAATTGAATCAAAACTGAGATGTTATAGCTAATGATATACTAGTGTCCTAGGCATGGCCATGTACATAATCTAAATAAGCATGAAATTAAACCAGCCTGCATGGGGTCACAAAATCAACCATTGTGAATAAGTCAATTCAGTCAGAAGTGTCTTCATTTTTTTCCACTGAACTTTGGTTAGTGTGTTTCTAAACCAATGAAATATCTGATAAGGTTAATGTGATACCAACTGGTCACAGTGCATCAAATAGAGCACACACAGTTTGGATGGGACTCAATTACATTTTTCTTAAATAATTGCAATGATAATTTATAAATTGTTTTTGCCATTTCAAAAACATCCAATGAACTAAACAATTCAAAATAAAAATACTCAACTTATCTACTGAATATGTTGACTTACATCTCCATCAATTCCCTTTATGCATAGGGCAGGGTTCAGAGGAAGGTGACAGGTATTTGTACACTGAAAGAATTCTTCTAGTCTGCCAAGTTCTTTCTTCAGTACCTCCTGTGAAAAATCATTAGAAGAAGCATCTTCAAAACTGAAAAGAACTGGACTTTTCCTTCAAGTTATAATTTTCTTTTGTTGATTAAATAAACTCCTTAATTCAGGGGTTGCACACTTGGGTGCTTTGGGGTCAGGTGTGTGATGTAGCCACATATGAGGAGGCAGCAGGCTAAAGACAATAGGGAGTACTGGGGAAAATGGGGAAGTAAAGATTGCATGTCCCTTCTGAAGAACTTTAAATTCAATTAAAACCCAAACCAAAACAAAGCACTGTTCTGTTCAAACGAAGCACGATGGATTGGACTTGACCTGTAACCCACCAATTTGCAACCCCTGCTTTAAGTAACTATTAACATGATCCATTTATCATAATTCCCTGAAATCTTAATTTGTAACTCTCAAGGTTTACACTTAATAGTATAATACTTTTTAAAAAAAAATTTACATAGAGTAGGAGACAAAATAATGACAAAAAAGATAATTATAGACCGTTGATAAATGTCAGAAGCAGTAATATACATGAACAAATAGTTTACTAAATGTCAATAAGTGTATTTCTGATACTTGACTCACTCCCTTCCATAGTCCTCTGTGCATGTGGAAGGTCTGAGACCACAAATGACACCTTTAGAATTGTGTATCCCCTGACACAAAAAAGGAGAAAAACAATAATTCAGAAATAATAATAATTCAAAATTTAAAAAAAGCTCCTTTTAGCCTACTTTGAAAACTGTTTAAGCCCAATTTTAAAAATGAGGATATCAGATTAATAGTGTTTAACTAACTCTCAAGAGTTTCTTAGCTCTTACTCCGGGTTCACTGCCAAATAATAGAATCTACTGCTCCCAGAATCCAGCAAAACAAGGTGGAGAAATGAGGCCAAGCTCCACAATGGCATTCTTTCTGTCTTCCTCTTTTGTCTTTTCTATACCTCGATTTGCCTGAAGAGCACCATGGAGGGGAACCTCTGCTCTCTTTAACTAAAATCTCTTCACTTCATATAGTTAGGTTTAACTGGGCTTTAAAAAAAAAAAAAAGAAAAGAAAAAAGCTTACAGTAACTTGTGAGAAATTATAAATGCTTCTCCCACCTCTTTCTTTTTCTCTTTCTATTTTCACGTGAAGAGGTGTTATCACAAGAGCAGCCAGTCAAGGTGAGAGAAATGCATTTATCTGAGAGAATAATGTCAGTATCACTGGAACGTGATGTAAATAGTCAAAAAGGCACTGTACTAACTGCAGCATGCATCTTAAATACATGAGGGATTTTGAAACATAAGAAATAAAGACCAAACCTATACACAAATTTTGTAAATTTTAAGCCAAATTTATTTTACTTGCTTTCAACTTTTTGTCTACCATTAGAAAATAATTAATGATTTTGCAGTAATATGGTGAAATCATAGAACTTTTTTTTTTTGCATTGCCTATCATGTTGCTAGCCTTAAGGCTCTTCTGTGCATACAGAGTTTATATGTCTCCCATTTAAAAATAAAGTCCCTGCTTATACTTTTTATTTTCCAATTTCTCCTAGGTAGGTGAAGTAGCATAGCTTCTGGCATTACTACCAAATGAAGTGACTTCCAGTAAGAAAAATCTTGTGCTAGGAAAAAATTCTGGGACCCTTTGCCTATTTTCATATCATTTTGTTGAAAAGTCTTGTTGATTTTAAACAGTGGGTGGAGAGAAACTATGAGCTCCCTTGAGAACAAGATTCATGTTTTAGGCATCTTTCTATCCTTAACTCCTAGTCTGTAGTAAGTACTTGTTATTGAATGAGATTCTTAATACAGTGAATACAGTCCACTACCTCCCTGCATCTAGAATGTTGAACTTAAGAGAACCTACTTAATGATCTATATCAGTGAAGGGAACTAGTAATGCAGTTAATTAAAAAGAGCAAGTGTTCTTCCATTAGAGCAAGAAAACGAACAGCCAGATCCATTATTATAATCAGTGATGAAAGAGGCACAGTATTTTGACTATCATCCATGGATGTTAGAATAAAAGTATTATTCAATACTATCCACACCACTATTGATTTCTTTCATTTAATTCACTTAATTTGTTGTGGAAAAAAAAGTCTTTAAAAATGTGACTTTGATCAGTGCAGTGTGAGAAAAATCTAGACCTAGATTTTGTACCTTGGACAAGGGTACTCTGAAAAGTCCCCTTGTGTACTTCTTCCATGAGTCTGAACTGTGCTGCCTTTCTGAGTAAATTACTTCATCCGGTCATTTAAATCAAATTGCCTTTAAATTGGTCTTTTGTCAGGTACTGTCTATGCTACATGGCTATTTAGATCAAAAAGTCATGTTCTGGTGATAGATATTATCATTAACATTAGGATAGTAAACTGAAAAAAAAAACTTGATCAAAAGAATCGATTTAAGTGTCTTATGACAAAGTGTAGTCAAGGAATTTACCTTCTGTGTTATGAAATTCAAAGTTAATTGAACCAGGTTTAAGAAATAAAACAAAACTTTATTACATGAAGATTGATTTTGCAACAAACCTGTCTTTGAGGGTCACTGGCAGATTTGACTTTTTCACCAATGTCTCCCAGAATTTTGATGAGTTTCTGTTCCTTGGAAAACTCATCACTCAAGGCTTTTCCTGCACAGAATTGGAGAGCAGCCAATAGCTTCTGATACCAGCTTTTAAAATAAGCTTCATTCTGTGCATCCTTTAGCAGCCTGAAGGAGAGAAAACAAATTCTTGTATCTAAAGCTGATTTTTAAAACACCTCTAGCAGGAACAATAAGTGTGTTTCAGACTAATCTGTATGTGGTGGCTTTGGGCAGTTTAACAGGCCAGGCTGGGGAAAATGCTGTTTATTTGTTGGCAGTCATCGTTTCACCTGATAGTTAATGAGATTCCAAGAGTGAAGAATCAATAAGAGACCTTCCTTTCCTCATTTCAGTTCACAGTGCACTTTTTCCTCTTTCAGGCTTCTTAAATTCTATAGCAAATACTTATCTTAAGAGCATATATTTGACTTCTTATTAAAATACATTTTAGAAATGGTATTTATTAGTCACTACACTATATGGCAACCTAACCATCAACCCCACATTTTTCTGCTTTTCGTCAAAAAATAATGTCTCCAGACTGTCACATACGTTAAGTATTGCTCTTTCTTCCAACACCTCCCTTTGATTACCTGGAGGAAGATATTGTAAAGGCAAGAGCATAGTTTTTGTTTTCAGGCACTTCTGGATTCAAATCTCAGCCCTACAACTTACAAGTAAGTTAGGCCAGTTACTTAACCGGGCTGAGGTTAAAATAAAGAAATAACTCTGACTCCATAGAACTGTATGGAATATAGAATAAGCTAATGCTATTCTAATTTGAAAGGGCTTAGCACAAAGCATGTACTAGTAGTCAAAAAACATCAGTTTATCTGTACCCTGCAGCCTCCCCAAGCCAGCTTCTGTCACTGTCTGGCAGTCTGCTTGTATCATGAACATGGGAGGCATAGAACAAAAAAAGGGAAGGATACTTCGCTAGATAATGGAGCAGTGACAATTATTTGATTACGCTTTCTGCCATGTGACAATTTCTATTGCCTTGAAATTAATTCCAACATGCTTAAACTTTACTTTTTATTATGCCCTAAAACACTGAAAATAAAAGACTGATTCCCTTGAATGTTAACCTCTCTTTGATTGATTCTTTAATTCTTGTCTCTAATCTTCTTCTCTTCTGAAAAATAATTATCATTCAAAGGACTAGAAGAAAGTTATTGTGAGAATGAAATACTGAAAAATGAAGGATTAAATGCCTAGCAGCCAAAATATATATAGATGAGTTTCATTCTGCATTCCTAATTTTGCATCGCTGCCCAATGTGTATTGTGCTACAGAGACTCTAAGAAACACATTATTTTCATTTGTTCTATGTTCTCTGTTCCTACACATCTGAGTTAAAAAATTAATTGAATGAGGGCTTCCCTGGTGGTGCAGTGGTTGAGAATCTGCCTGCTAATGCAGGGGACACGGGTTCGAGCCCTGGTCTGGGAGGATCCCACATGCCGCGGAGCAACTAGGCCCATGAGCCATAACTACTGAGCCTGTGCGTCTGGAGCCTGTGCTCTGCAACAAGAGAGGCCGCGATAGTGAGAGGCCCGCGCACCGCGATGAAAAGTGCCCCCCGCTTGCCACAACTAGAGAAAACCCTCGCACAGAAACGAAGACCCAACACAGCAAAAATAAATAATAAATAAATTAATAAACTCCTACCCCCAACATCTTCTTTAAAAAAAAAAAAATTAATTGAATGAACCTGACTTTTTTTTTTTTTTTTTTTTAGGTAAGGGCTTGTTCCTTTGTCATTGTTACAAAGCCCACTTATCTCCTAGCACCTCTTTTACTTTACCAAAGGAAATATAATAATGCTGGAAAAATGCTGGAAAGCATTAAAAAACAAAAAAACCCTCAAGGGTCTAAAGATGTATTGATGGAAAATATAATCCATATATAATTATACCTTCAATGTAAGAAGAATAGTTGACAATGAAAAGTTTTCCAACCCACCTCTATGGTGAGATTTTTGAAATGTCAGATGCAATAAATGTATCACACCATTATTTGGAGGCTCTAAGAAAACGAGTGTTATGTGATTATGAATTGGAAAGCCCCAAAGAAAGCATCCACATCTGAAACTTCAAGGTATTTCATGCAGAATTATACCTCAGAGATTTTCACAGTGTTTTGAGGACTTTGGTAATATACCATTGTACAGTCTACTTGGTTTTCAGTGGACGTAGGGAATTGATGGGTAGAGTATTTCTATATCCCGTATCAATGCTTGCCAGTATTTTCATACACTTTGAATACTGAGTTACTTGTTTTTAAAGATATTTAAAACCTGTTCTGGTACATAAATATAACTCTATAACCACCTGACTGCTATACACATGATAAATGGAAAGGTTATTCTGCACAAAGTCAACTTTTTACTAAAATTCTTAAAGAAAATATATATTTTAGGGGTGGGGAGTCACAGGAATTGTCAAAATTATCTAATTAGTATTCCTAATACTCAATTCTTATTCTATGAGAAATGTATATGCTTCTCTCATGAGCAGCTGATTCAAGGAGGGAAAAAAATCAGTCTGATTTCTTGCTCAAAATAAAACAGAGCAGGGAAGATTTGCAGAGAGAATATGTGACTGTGTTTTAAAAAATTTAAAAGTGAAGAAAACTCAGTGTATTCCATCGTGATTATTTTCCTTATAGAACATACCTCATGCAAACTCTCATTCCTGCCATTACGACATGCTCTCCTGGTGAGATTTGGTTCAAGCTCTATGGCTTTTTATCCAACTTTAAAGTTTTTTACAAATTGCAGAATTTAAATCATACTGTGTTATAGATGACCACGAGAGGTGAGTTAGTCTATTCCTGTGTCTTTAGGCACAGTCACTTTAACTGATGAGAGAAATTAATATGTCCTTTAATTTTAATCAATTCAGAGAAAGTTGGACTATACAGTTTTGGGTGGAGAGTTAGCCAATTCTACGTCCATGACCTTCACCATCAGGAAGTGGTTAAAACCCTCATGTGGTAGTTTTTACCCCTTGCCTCTGTTTGTTAAGACTGTGGAAAACAGCTAGCCACTTTCCCTTAAGCATTAAATAAACCTTTTTCATAAGGCACTGTCACTGGGAGACACAGAATTGCTTATGCCAAATTCAAAAAAAAAAACTTTTTTTTAGGTTCAGGTCAAGGGACTGAGAAATATGAAGTAACACTTGGTGTTGAAAGATTGGGCTTTTAAGATACAGACGATGTGACCACATACAAACTGTGAGGTAAATCTCAAAATGTCAGAGACCTGTTTATCCTAGTGTATGCGAGATCCAGAAATGGTTCAACTTGATATTATTATTATTTTTTTGTGTGGTACGCGGACCTCTCACTGTTGTGGCCTCTCCCATTGAGGAGCACAGGCTCTGGACGCGCAGGCTCAGCGGCCATGGCTCACGGGCCCAGCCGCTCCGCGGCATGTGGGATCTTCCCGGACCGGGGCACGAACCCGTGTCCCCTGCATCGGCAGGCAGACTGTCAACCACTGTGCCACCAGGGAAGCCCAACTTGATATTATTTTGTATAGGTGTCTTATGGACTGTAAGTAATGACAACATTAAAATGAGAATAAATGCATAAAATCTAGCTGATTAAAGGTAAGGGTAGTGTTGAGTATGAGAGGCAAAAAGCAAGAAGAGAAGCAAACATAACCCAGGTGACTGAGCATATTTGCTATAGGATATCATAAAGGCATTTGCCTAAATTAAGGAGCTAGTGGTGGACTCAGATACACAAACCCCAGCTAGCATGAAATGGAGATTTTCCTTGGAAATAAGAGCTTTTCTCCATTTCTTCATGCACAAAGTGCTTCTGATCCCATGATGAGTGACTTGCTGGAGGCCCAGGAAAAGTACAGATAGGTCTCATTTCATCAGTCTACCTGCAGGACAGAACAGACTAATCATGGCAACCCAGCCCTCCTTGCCTCATGACTCCCTTCAGTGTAGCTCTTAATTTTAATTCTCAACAGCACAATATCCCACAAATTAGGGCTTGCCTTAAATTTTTTACCCTCTTGTGTATTTCTTGTGAGTGAAGAGGGGAAACAACATCCAGAAGAAAACTGAGCTACACGTGAAGATGAGTGATTTCAGGTCACTCCAGGACCTCCCCTTTCCATTTCCTCTATTGGTGGCTACTTTATGGGGAGTAAGATGTGTGACTCAGTAGACCAGGTCTTAGTGAGCACAGGTGGATTTTAAAATGTGACTTCTTCAAGTGTATTTATAACCCTGGGACATATAAAGGCTGAAATCCAATACTTGATATGGAATTTTTAATTTTAAGGTTTCAATAGTGTGTTAAGAAGTGAAAAGCATATATCTCTTTAGCCTTTACAACTTTATTTTACTTCTCATTGGTTGAGAGATTTACTTAATATTTCCCTAAACTGAGGAACTTCATACATTTTATTGTCTTGCAAAGATAACTGTTTCCTATGACTAGCTCATTTTTAGAATACTGATTTGCTCTTTCAGAAATATAGCACCGAACTTCTTTTGAATTTTGTATATAAGGAGCATTACATGGGCCAAGTCTGCAGAAATGTGATTTCCAATCAATAGTTATTTTGCAACATGTTTGTCAATAAGCCACTTTGAAACAACTTGAATATAAAACAATTAAAAGGGAATAAATTCAGAAAATAATGAAATCCATACTCTAGAGATTTTATACATTTTTAGAACACTTAAATATAAGAGACAGGCCCTTAAGGTATGTAACCGACTTAATTTTATCCCCATATTTCAATTTATATATCTAATATTTATTACCACCTCAAAAACAGTAATTCAGAATGTTACAGTTCATACTTATGATTTTTCCATTGTGTTCACGTTATGTGGTAGATTTATTTTTCCCAACTCCATGCTTTCTTCCCTGAAGCTTATACAACCACACTCTGCTCTGTGACTTCCAGTGCCTCCCCAGAGACAGCATCTACTTCTCCACCCCTTGTCTGGATTGGCCATGTGACTCACTTTAGCCAACAGGATGCGACTGGATAAAATGTATGCCCAAGTCCATGGGGATGCTTTAAATGTGCTCTCATGGATTGGTCTGCTCTCTTGTACTTCTGCTATCTGTCACGAGAACAGCTTGTC